AGGTGGGTGAAATGAGGACCCAGACTGTGGGGGCGATATGCTGACTCTGTAAACCACTTAGAGAGGACTGAAAGCCCTATGAAGTGGTATATAAGTCTAACTGCTATTGCTATTGCTATTGCTATTGCTATCTAGTGGTAGCTATATTTTATAGTCCACATCTTACCCAGAAGTAGGATGTGGTGTACTTTGTCAAATTCTTTACTCAACTTTAAATAAACTACATCCACACTATTTCCTAAATCCACTAATTTAGACCCACAAATTAATATCAGTAGGACGCAATGCTTACCATACATTGTCCCTTACTTCTCTCCCACACACACATTGACTTCTCACATTGAGAAAAAGCAGCGTGAGAAAATGAAGATGCATTAAATTCTTTCTTCCTATCCATTGTTTCTCTTCTCTTCAAATTATGTATGTTTATTTTCTCCAGCTCCCCCCCATACCCAATAAATATTACAGCTGTTGATGACTTATGATCTGAGTTGAAACTCTGTACTTTAGTTAAAAGTACAAAACAATTTACTTTTTATGAACAACTTTGTGTACAGTAACACACTCTCACTCCCAATTTCTAAGAAAACCAGTGATATCAAGAGGTTACAGTACCAACACCTTATTTAACTTAGTTTATATATACATTATTTTAGTTGAGGGGAAAATCAAACTTCATTTTAATGCTGACACTGTGCCTTTAAAAAGAATTCTCTGAAAACCTTCTACCTTCTCTCTGCACTGCTGGCCTACACAACATGCCTTAATTAGCACAGATTTATCACGTTCATGGATAGATTGGAAATTTGGTGACACTTAATGAGAAAGGTCTATTACCTTGACCAGGCTAAAATTACAGTTTAGAGGGCATTTGCTTGCTCCAAAAGCTGACTGCACGCATACAAATATTTTATTATTAACATACAAATGCACAGAGACATGGAAGCCAACACATGCATGACCCTTACCTAATTCTTCTAACTGGAGGTTCCAGGGTTGAAACTGGGCGTCCTCTGTTATATTGCTTCACTTTCCTTCCTTAGAAATTGGCCCTTGTAAAGCCTAGCAAGAACATCCTCAAGAAGATGAGAGGGAGCCGAGGTGGCGCAGTGGTTAAATGCAGCACTGCAGGCTACTCAGCTGACTGCAGTTCTGCAGTTCGGCTGTTCTAATCTCACCGGCTCANACATTGTAACAGCTAAGTCGAAGCGCCCATTGACATGAGTGATGTTGAGTTGGCCACACCCACACAGTCACATGACCACTGAGCCACGCCTATTCAGCTGGTCATTA